TTCGATACCCTATTTATGACCTTTGCAGCTGGCACAGTTGCCTTAATGGGGAAGGGCTTTTGTAGACGGTCTTATTAATAATGATGAAAAAGTAGCTTCTTCTAAGGAACAGACGCAATTCATGACTAGAGTGCTAAAACCACACACTATTTAAGACTAAAATGGCCAAAATCGATACCCTATTTGCGGCCAAAACGGCTGAAAAACCCTACCCTTTGGGGCCGCACATACCTATATAGCCCATATAAGGGAGCAACCCTCCGTGCAAAGCTGCACTTTCGTTTGCTTTGCGCTCGGTTGGCTGTTCATTTTTCTGCCGTTCATTCAGTTTGTTTTTGTTTGGATAGGAGAGAGAAAGTTCCCAAATGTATTTTAAAAAAACTAGCAACTGCCGAAGCTCCTTTTGTGTTAATATCAAAATAGGCATCCCCACAGCGTTGGAGGTTTTCCTTCTTTTTGTAAACCAAACATGAGCAAGTACCTGCGTGTAAAGCCGCTTGGACCGTCCACACATTGCACGAGCACCCGTGTAAGAACTGGGTGCCAAGCCTGAAAATAACTTAAGAGGGATAACCTTGGATATAAGGCCTACATTGGGAATTTTCTCTTGAATAGTTATGATTAATATTATTTCAACTCATCGCTATCCATGGTTATTATCTTCGTTTCAATTAGGAGAAGCTGCCGTGCTGCACAGGAACTTTTGCTTGTATAAGATGTATACTCTCCTCGTAAACACAAATGAAAGGCAGATCAGGACGCCTGTTGAGGTAACAGAATTAGTAACAGCTTGTTATTAAGTACAAATATTTAATTTTGTCGTTTATTGAGAACAGATCGCACGGACGCATTAATCTATTGTTAGAGTATTAAAAGAACCATTAAAATAAATACCATCGAATTGAGCTATGGAGTGCTTAACAATCGTTGTTTTTATCCTTCTATTTAAATAGTTTATTTACATACACATGCACCCAGTGTCGCTGTCTCCTTTTGATCTGGTTTGCCAGGTATAATAAATATATTTTTGACTGATTTTCTGTAATACACGACCCCTCAAGCATGTAGTGATTAAACGATAATCGTGTTTTAAATAAAGGATTTTACTTTACTTTTCTTATGCATTTAGTCGATGCAATGGAATGAAACATCACGCGACTGACATTCAATCAATCATTGTAAATCTTAACAATTTGGCTTATCCCATGCGTACCTTGAAAACTGTTCACCAGCACATACGGGTATTCCAAATAAGGAGTCTGATAGAAGGCAAGAACAAAACCCAAGATCCACGTGACCCCTAACACTGACGTCAGCTTCAACACGATAACAGGCAGATTTCTCTGAGTCGAGGCAGCCTTGTTTCCCTCGGGGAATAAGTGTTATACGCAATGGTCATTGTTTGTTTGCGTATTAAATTTGAAAACAATATTAGCTTGTGAGAGTATGGTGGCGTGATAAATGGGAAATGTTATCTTTCACGAATCTTATTCATTGTAACTATGTTTAACAAATGAATAATTGGGTAGAAATATAAAAGAAACATTATAGCTCAGGCGTGGTCATTTGTCTTGTTAAATGCGTAACATACTTTAAGAGTCCTGGGATAAATTCTTACAAATACCTTATTAAAACATTTCAAATTCACAAGGAAACCACAATTTTTTTTTTATTTTATAATCACCCGTCTACGCTACTCGTCATTCCTCACAGTATAAATAGTTAAACATGTTATCTTTCAAAAACGATTTGGGCCGGGTTGTTCAAAGCTCGATTAAGCTAACCCAAGATTTCGGAGAATTTTGATTTCACTTTTGTAACTTTTCCGTGATGGTTTCTGTTAATATTGTTTGACCTTTTTTAAGTTTTTAAGTTTGAATTATGTTAAACTTCAAAAAACATAAACAGTGAAAACATTTGTATTCAAGAAAATTTATACTGAGGCTTACTTTTAATACTGTCTTTGTTAGCGTTAACCGGCTTCCGAACAACCCGGCCCAGTGTTTGTTTATTCCTAAGTATTTCACATTCCGCTCAGTATATCTTTTGCGAGCCGTTATCATGCACAACTGTGATATAAATCCGGTCATATTAGGTTTTTCTTGACGATAGAACACTTTTCCTTGTGAAAGCAGCGCTTACAATTGCGATCGTCGTCTACCAGCGATTCGTAGAAATCGGTTTACTTCTGTCACTGAAGTGGCGATCCCACTCGCTCGCTACTCACTGTATACACTATTTTTAGTCAGAGGAAACCTTTGCTCTTTTAGGATAACGTGCGAATTAATCTGATTTTGGTAACATTTATACCTGTGCACTTTTTCTCATTGCAACAACGGTCTGGATTAGAGCACCAATGTTAAAAACCAGCATCAATGAAACAGGGATCGCCACGGCAAATGTACGAGCGGGAAGGTTCAGCTGACATCCGTCATGATTTCCTAAAACATTTTTGAAACACAACGTATTCATCGCTGGAATAAAGAATTTTTCTTTACATTTGAAGACCAAATGAGTACATTAACTATTTTGAAATATTTTTCTTGTGGTTAAGTAAAAGAATTAAGTATAAGAGCAGATGGTTTGTAAGTAACTTTTCTTCAAATCAAAAATCTTTTAATTTCCTGGATTTCACTTGCCCAGTTTAAGACTGCGCTCAAATCATTGAACACACTTTAACCGATGGTTTTTTCTTGGTCCTTTCTTTTCATGTGAGTCTTGTAGCGCTACAGTCCCAGCAGTCCTACTCACTTTAATCTTTGGAGTTTTTTTTTTACCTGTATTGAATTTGCACTTCATTTCGTTTAGCTGCTGTTATTGGCCAATTTCTCCCTTCTTTAGAACCGTTTTCCAAAGTCATTGCAACAAATGTCTATAATATTCGCTTTGACTTTAAAAGTAATTTCTATTTACAAGACTAAAAAAGTAAAAAAAGTAAAAAACACCATTTACTTTTTACCTTTTTTAGCCTTGTAAGTAGAAATCAAATCTTAAGTATGTTTATTTATTAGGATAAGTACTCACCATAACTGGTACTTCCGATGTTGGTGACCTCTAATACCACGCAGATACCAACAGTGACAAAGGGCAATCCCCAGCAGAACAGACAATTCCGTGTGTAGGTTCGTCTTCTTTGTTCGTGAGTCAGAGGGAAGTTGAAAATCTCTATATCTGCGTCTATTAATGAAAATGTTATAAGCATAGAGATAAACCTATATAGTCTTGTTCAGTTACATGCTAACAATGAACAGTTTGAGAATTGATTATATCGCCAAGCATTGTTGTCTAAACAGTACGGACAGCAGCATCGTTATTGTCGTCTTCGTCACTATCACCACTGAATTTTGGNCTGGCTAGTATGCAGACATAACCTACCTCTTATATTTTTAAGCTGAGGAAAAGACGTAATGCTTTTAAACACTGTTGGACAGTAATATACGAAATAGAGAGTAGGCAATCGTAATAATGCATGTGCAATTATATTACAAGTAACATTTGGAAATTCCCTTAAAATTGCACGAGCATTCAAGCAATTAGTGTCATTTTAAAGAACGTTCAAATATCGCTCTTAGTATAAATCCTTAACTGCCAAGCTTTGAAACTATTACTCGTTTATTATATGACTGAGAAAAGTACGAATGCGTGTGCGTTAATTTACACTGCAGTGCAAATAACAAAAAAATCGATGAGCAGCATGAGAACGGTATGGCATAGGTTTGATTTCTGCTCTACGATGCAAAACTTTTATTTGTGGCAATTCTAGGAAATCTGGAAGAACTAGGGTGGTCGTGATTAAATTGCGGGAAATATTCAAGACTTGAGCTATCAGGCCGTTATGGGGGAAGTATTTTTGTTGATTTTGAACTCCAGCAATCGTTATGCACTACAGCTTTGCCAGGCTGATTACCCACTCTGGCGTGGCTCAAGAAAAGATCTTTAGTAAGAGAGCAAATCCCCCATCCCGGGAGGTACTCCCAGAAAAGTTGGGTAGGGTTGTGGGGCCCACTTCCCAAAACCCTTACCCTATTCATGACCAAAATCTGCGATTTTTGCTACCCTGTTAATGAACTGACCAAAAATTCGATACCCTATTTATGACCTTTGCAGCTGGCACAGTTGCCTTAATGGGGAAGGGCTTTTGTAGACGGTCTTATTAATAATGATGAAAAAGTAGCTTCTTCTAAGGAACAGACGCAATTCATGACTAGAGTGCTAAAACCACACACTATTTAAGACTAAAATGGCCAAAATCGATACCCTATTTGCGGCCAAAACGGCTGAAAAACCCTACCCTTTGGGGCCGCACATACCTATATAGCCCATATAAGGGAGCAACCCTCCGTGCAAAGCTGCACTTTCGTTTGCTTTGCGCTCGGTTGGCTGTTCATTTTTCTGCCGTTCATTCAGTTTGTTTTTGTTTGGATAGGAGAGAGAAAGTTCCCAAATGTATTTTAAAAAAACTAGCAACTGCCGAAGCTCCTTTTGTGTTAATATCAAAATAGGCATCCCCACAGCGTTGGAGGTTTTCCTTCTTTTTGTAAACCAAACATGAGCAAGTACCTGCGTGTAAAGCCGCTTGGACCGTCCACACATTGCACGAGCACCCGTGTAAGAACTGGGTGCCAAGCCTGAAAATAACTTAAGAGGGATAACCTTGGATATAAGGCCTACATTGGGAATTTTCTCTTGAATAGTTATGATTAATATTATTTCAACTCATCGCTATCCATGGTTATTATCTTCGTTTCAATTAGGAGAAGCTGCCGTGCTGCACAGGAACTTTTGCTTGTATAAGATGTATACTCTCCTCGTAAACACAAATGAAAGGCAGATCAGGACGCCTGTTGAGGTAACAGAATTAGTAACAGCTTGTTATTAAGTACAAATATTTAATTTTGTCGTTTATTGAGAACAGATCGCACGGACGCATTAATCTATTGTTAGAGTATTAAAAGAACCATTAAAATAAATACCATCGAATTGAGCTATGGAGTGCTTAACAATCGTTGTTTTTATCCTTCTATTTAAATAGTTTATTTACATACACATGCACCCAGTGTCGCTGTCTCCTTTTGATCTGGTTTGCCAGGTATAATAAATATATTTTTGACTGATTTTCTGTAATACACGACCCCTCAAGCATGTAGTGATTAAACGATAATCGTGTTTTAAATAAAGGATTTTACTTTACTTTTCTTATGCATTTAGTCGATGCAATGGAATGAAACATCACGCGACTGACATTCAATCAATCATTGTAAATCTTAACAATTTGGCTTATCCCATGCGTACCTTGAAAACTGTTCACCAGCACATACGGGTATTCCAAATAAGGAGTCTGATAGAAGGCAAGAACAAAACCCAAGATCCACGTGACCCCTAACACTGACGTCAGCTTCAACACGATAACAGGCAGATTTCTCTGAGTCGAGGCAGCCTTGTTTCCCTCGGGGAATAAGTGTTATACGCAATGGTCATTGTTTGTTTGCGTATTAAATTTGAAAACAATATTAGCTTGTGAGAGTATGGTGGCGTGATAAATGGGAAATGTTATCTTTCACGAATCTTATTCATTGTAACTATGTTTAACAAATGAATAATTGGGTAGAAATATAAAAGAAACATTATAGCTCAGGCGTGGTCATTTGTCTTGTTAAATGCGTAACATACTTTAAGAGTCCTGGGATAAATTCTTACAAATACCTTATTAAAACATTTCAAATTCACAAGGAAACCACAATTTTTTTTTTATTTTATAATCACCCGTCTACGCTACTCGTCATTCCTCACAGTATAAATAGTTAAACATGTTATCTTTCAAAAACGATTTGGGCCGGGTTGTTCAAAGCTCGATTAAGCTAACCCAAGATTTCGGAGAATTTTGATTTCACTTTTGTAACTTTTCCGTGATGGTTTCTGTTAATATTGTTTGACCTTTTTTAAGTTTTTAAGTTTGAATTATGTTAAACTTCAAAAAACATAAACAGTGAAAACATTTGTATTCAAGAAAATTTATACTGAGGCTTACTTTTAATACTGTCTTTGTTAGCGTTAACCGGCTTCCGAACAACCCGGCCCAGTGTTTGTTTATTCCTAAGTATTTCACATTCCGCTCAGTATATCTTTTGCGAGCCGTTATCATGCACAACTGTGATATAAATCCGGTCATATTAGGTTTTTCTTGACGATAGAACACTTTTCCTTGTGAAAGCAGCGCTTACAATTGCGATCGTCGTCTACCAGCGATTCGTAGAAATTGGTTTACTTCTGTCACTGAAGTGGCGATCCCACTCGCTCGCTACTCACTGTATACACTATTTTTAGTCAGAGGAAACCTTTGCTCTTTTAGGATAACGTGCGAATTAATCTGATTTTGGTAACATTTATACCTGTGCACTTTTTCTCATTGCAACAACGGTCTGGATTAGAGCACCAATGTTAAAAACCAGCATCAATGAAACAGGGATCGCCACGGCAAATGTACGAGCGGGAAGGTTCAGCTGACATCCGTCATGATTTCCTAAAACATTTTTGAAACACAACGTATTCATCGCTGGAATAAAGAATTTTTCTTTACATTTGAAGACCAAATGAGTACATTAACTATTTTGAAATATTTTTCTTGTGGTTAAGTAAAAGAATTAAGTATAAGAGCAGATGGTTTGTAAGTAACTTTTCTTCAAATCAAAAATCTTTTAATTTCCTGGATTTCACTTGCCCAGTTTAAGACTGCGCTCAAATCATTGAACACACTTTAACCGATGGTTTTTTCTTGGTCCTTTCTTTTCATGTGAGTCTTGTAGCGCTACAGTCCCAGCAGTCCTACTCACTTTAATCTTTGGAGTTTTTTTTTTACCTGTATTGAATTTGCACTTCATTTCGTTTAGCTGCTGTTATTGGCCAATTTCTCCCTTCTTTAGAACCGTTTTCCAAAGTCATTGCAACAAATGTCTATAATATTCGCTTTGACTTTAAAAGTAATTTCTATTTACAAGACTAAAAAAGTAAAAAAAGTAAAAAACACCATTTACTTTTTACCTTTTTTAGCCTTGTAAGTAGAAATCAAATCTTAAGTATGTTTATTTATTAGGATAAGTACTCACCATAACTGGTACTTCCGATGTTGGTGACCTCTAATACCACGCAGATACCAACAGTGACAAAGGGCAATCCCCAGCAGAACAGACAATTCCGTGTGTAGGTTCGTCTTCTTTGTTCGTGAGTCAGAGGGAAGTTGAAAATCTCTATATCTGCGTCTATTAATGAAAATGTTATAAGCATAGAGATAAACCTATATAGTCTTGTTCAGTTACATGCTAACAATGAACAGTTTGAGAATTGATTATATCGCCAAGCATTGTTGTCTAAACAGTACGGACAGCAGCATCGTTATTGTCGTCTTCGTCACTATCACCACTGAATTTTGGTATGAAGAGATTGCTTGCAGTTTTTAGGTTTAAACTGTTGACCAATTGACCTGAACACAATTAAAAACTATTCATTTCCTCCTGACATTTGGTAAGTGGTTTTCAGCAGTATTTAGGATACGGAAACGATAAGGTACATATATTCTTGTTGGAATTACGAGATTTGGTCCAATGCGGTATATCCATAATTCCTACGTAAATTATGCTTTAGATCTAAATCTTATTGCCCTTTCAACCTACAATCTTAATACATCATGGTTGCCGGCCCTCGGAAATGTGATCTTCTTAAAACAAATATTTGCCCGAGAAGCAAAGCTTCGAGAGCAAACACGCTAGTTTTAAGAACGTTAAATTTCCAAGGGGCAACTATCAGACCAATAGTTCCGAGACATAAACACTCTGTTGTCTCAGTTTTGTTTACCACTAAATTTTCTTCCACGCAAGTTCAAAAATTGAATGTTTTTTCAGCTCTTTTAGATGGAAGCGGTGAAAGCCAAATGTAAAACTTATAGAGGAAAACAGACTAAACCAACTTAATACAATTTTAATTGTTTATTTTCTATAAGCCCGCTTGTTTACAGACAAATTTTCACGGACGGGTACTGTCGATCCGGGTATTTTCCTCGGACGGACACTATGGCTGATAGTGTCTCCGCGGATGAACACTATCGCGTCACGTGATCAATTTAAACCAATAAGAATCGGAGAAAATTTTGTGGTGAACTATAATTGAACATATCGTGTACTCACTTCCACTTGAAAACACCTTTTGAGTGTTGTAGGCAATGGTACTCATCCACGAGAACACAACCAGGACAAAATAATGCAGCAAAACACCAATCACTGCGCAGACTCCAGAGGAAACAACATCCGGGTCAGACACAAGATATATCGACTGCATGGCTATCATTGCGCATGACAGATGCATCACCTTTTTACCAGGAAAGGTACGTAGTTCAGCAAAGAGCAAATAGGTCACCAGAAGGAAAAGAAGAAAGGCGATTGACACAGAAAACCCAACATATGTAATGATTTGTATCGCTGGAAATTGCTGTTCGGTTTTCACGTCCTCCAATGTAATTCGTCGCTCAGTGTAATTACGGGAGAAGTTAGTGCACAGGATCAAAGTGTTGTTTGCCAGGACAAAGCTTTCGTTGCTGTACGTCATGTGATGAGCAAATACAAGCACGGAATTATTGCTCAAGATCTGAAACTCATTGGGAAGGAAACGAATCTCAGCGGTGCACTTCTTTTGGTTGACGACAGTGACACTGATTGAAGAGCTGGCAGGAATAACAGGAATACACCTACCCTGAAATGGATCATATACTTCATTGATTTCGCAGGTGTAATCGACGTGTAAAGTAATTACTCCCCGTGGAACTTGCCGTGTCTGTGAGCGGGCTTTAGTAAATGCAAACAACAGTGAAGGAAGCCTGGGTGCGACCCGTAGGCCTCTACTGCATATTACCTTTTTATTCAGGATGGTTCTGTTCCAAAGAAGAGCACAGTGAGGGTTCTTAAATGACCCATGAGGCTTAATATTCACGCCATTGGCATAGGAACGACACAGATTTTTGAGTTTTGTGTCTTGCCCTATCAAGGCGGCATTTGGTGTAATAATACACTTTTGTGCTACTTGAATGTCAAATGGCCTAACCTCCCAAAACGTGTCAGGGGATCGGATAACCTGTAAGGATATATCAGAGACGCCGCGCTTCATCCAAATTTGGACATCCCAAAGACGAAGGTTATCTGACTTCCCATGACACATAGCGCAGTAGATGTTGGCATAAGTCAAAGATGTTACCATATCAACCACTGGAACAGCTGATGCAGGGTCAGCGGAATAATTTGTTGACAAGCAGGCGTGTTCTGTTTGTGCATCACTCCAAGATAAAGGACAGCTGGCGACCATCACATAGCCATAGATATCTTTATTTATGGAGGAAGGAGCCTTTCTACACTCTAAAACCTCTGGTGACATGCCTTTTTCAGATTTGTTCGGTGTGATCCTTAAATAAAACAGACAATAGATAATTACTCACTTTCTGTAGTTAACCCTCGTTTAATAACTCCAAATATCATAGAATCCTGCTTTTAAACTCAGTCAGGCAGCTCGGTCGGCCTCAAAACAGCAAGTTTGTAGCATCGCACTATCCACAATTTACATCTGGCACACCTTTGTTTTGATAAGTATACATTTTATAAGAATATCGAGGCTGAAATTTGCGAAATTTTTTACAAATGTTTTAAGAATAAACCCGAGCTAAACCTGTGGCTGAAAGTTTGAAAATAACAAAATTTTACAATACAGTTATACGTCTTTGAACTGGAACTTACTTTGGCTATCTAGACAACTGATTATCTGAACCAAACCAACAAACATCTACACAAGCACTTTTCTTAATACTTTAACTCCTAAAATGGCTAAAAATCACGAGATAAGCGTATATTATTCGACAAACGCGATCTTTGCTTCATGTCACGCACCGCCATAACTCCGAAATTTAAAATGCGCTGGTTTGCAAACGAAGGACGCTATTGAGCTGGAAAGTTGTAAACAGATATAAATTTAGTACCTGTTACGCCTGACGAGGATAAAACCTTTAGGGGCTCTTAAGTTTTGGATTTGAGAATTTGATGACGTCACGTTAACACACTCTATATGTAAGTTTATTGCTAGTGCGATGAATTAAACCCTTACCAAAGATCAAAGTCAACGCAGCAATCACCAAGAGTCTTACAGAGCGGATCACAGTAGCAACCATCGCGGAGGCCATCTCTTCTTTTGGATTTGGTGTTATTAGGGTTACATGAAAGAAGGGAACGATTGCAGAATTTGACGTTTCCATCATTGTGTCGCGGGAGAGAAAACAACTCATCGCACCAAAATGTCTTGTTCGCCTCAAACGGCTGGCAAGGATACTCTCTATCCGTAAAGGTACCTAGTCACAAAAATCACAACAATCCAATATGAACAATTTAAGAAAAATCCAATAGTGGTCATTAGTAAGTAAAAATAATAAATTATTTGTAGTGAAAGACGTGAAGTCATAAGCGTTCGGTGGAAATATAAGGAAGATGACTGTTTCAGTCATTGATCCAAGTCACTAAAAAATGTACCAAGCTCTATACTTGCTTGTATCTCTTCTTAAGCCCGCGCGCTTGATGAATGACGTGGCGTGACGTTGCGACATGATGTATGCGCAGTAACAATGGGCGTGAACGTCCTTTTAAGGTGATTCCTCAGTATTGCATTGCGCATCCCTGCTGCGCACTCGCGTCTTTAGCGCGCGCACATGAGCTCGTGCACGTACACAACGTAAGAGATTTCCCTCAAGCTAAACTCGACAGCGAAATAAATGCTCGTTTTCTCTTAAACGAGCACGGTTACCTCTATTTATATTACATAATTTTGGTTTAGAAATCATCCTCTTAAAGTCAAAAAATTAAGAAAAAAAATTGTTGGGAAGGAAAAAAAAGTATGGCTAAAAGAGTGCACAAAACCGTTACTCGAGGATGCAAATTATGACCTCAAAAACAACGATGTGAGGAACGTTTTGAGTCAATGTCGTTTAGAATTGTATGATTTTTCCATAAATTATGTATTACATTGTTTCAAGTACCCAAGACTTTCTGTCTATCAATTTTTTTTTCAAGTATTGCTTTAAAAACCTTTGCCTTCACCTACCGCAAAATGTACCGTGAACTGATGAAATAAAGAGCGTGTTTAGGCACTATGAATGGGGTAAGATTGGCCCATCATATCTCTTAAACGAGTATGGTGACGTATCCCTTTTATTGTATTTTTCCGAAACAGTGCTTGGTAGGGAAAGTTTGAAAAAAATTGTTCGGCAACTTTTATTTCTGAGGAATCACCTTAAGGACGTCTGGCCAGGACTTTAAAAATCTCTGGCCAAACGATCGCAACATCTCAACGCAACATATCGCGCGCCCTTTGCGACGTTTTGCGACATATTGAACATTTTCACATTTTACGCCCAACAATGTTGCGATATGTTACGCTGAAATGTTGCGATCGTTTGGCCAGAGCTTTACGCTTATGCGCAAGAATATGTTTAATACTGCAACGATCCCTTGCCCTTCAAGTGTCATAGCAAATACCCATAACATTGTGAAAACAGTCTTGAAGTATATTCGAGGATTAGTAAAGGTGAATACTTTAACATCACTTACTTTCTCCCGTGGATGAAATGCCGAGAAAAAAGATTGCCCACCACAAAAACATTCCTAGCACCGTAGAAAAGCTGCAATATAATAAAATCTGAAACACAAGAAGAAACAAAGTTGTGCTTGACATGTGACACTCGGATTCTATTTGTGAAACCATTTGATTTGCATTCTCAAACCTAGACGGCAGTCCGTTATACACAGTTGATCATAAAATTCTTGCTAGACCCAAGGAGCAAGTTAACAGGGAAGGCGCCACGCTAAAAGCATGAAAGCCACTGATGTTTTGATTGAGCACAAATGCAATTACCCTCTCGAGTAAAATAGGCCAGTATGGACCACAAACTTAGTAATGCGGCAAACGCATCGAAGGGTAATGGTAAACAATTGCACATTATAACAAAAGACGAACACTAGCATACAGTAAGCAACTGTCAATCAACTTTAGTGATGTCCACGGTCACGTGGTTAAGCAGCAAACACTATTCCTCACTTAGTCAGGTGGAGGAACATCTCTTAGCTCGCGATTACCTTCGCAAATAAATCTCTACCAGCAAACCAAAGTCTTTCTAACATGACAGGGAGTATCTATCTAAAACACAAACTGTTTGATTAAAATGGACATCACAAGATATCTTATTTGTGAAAACGAAAAATGAAGAAAGCGCAATAGGACTAAATCTATTAGGATTTATCATAGAGCCCCTCGCACACTGAAACAAAACGTTACTATACTATAGGAAAGCTGTCCTCGAGTAACTTCTAGTGAAGAGAAAAACTGCTGTTTCCATGCACGACAAATATTAACATTGCATATTATGATTCTGGCGCTGCACGTCCATGTTCAAAGGTTTCAACCTTTTACTTTTCTTGCCGGAGAACAACTGCTTCATGTGAAGAATTACACTCTAATTATAAGAAGGACAGATCCAAAGTTAACTTTTCCATTATACTGCAGTGAATAACTGCTTTGCGAATTATTAAAATCCCAGAAAATAGTTTGTTTGCCTAATTAATCCCTGTTTGTCCTTTTTCAGTTTTCTATGACAATCAGAAATTATCCATCTTTCTATTCAACGTTGATCAATAAAATGATTGAGATTTTCAAGGAAAATGGACAATGGTTTTGATATATATTTATTGAAAATATTATAAACTTTTACGCAGATATTTATTATGCAATATCCAGTTGACAATTAACGATTTGCAGGAAGCGCAACGAATTCTTCTTTGAAAACTGTTCTTTGCTATGTCAGTTACAGAGAAAAGTTTGGAAAACGAAACTTCACCGGTATTTTAACAGTTTGAAGCGTAAAATTTACGAAGTGAACATTTTCTGGCCTTTCCACTCTAGGTTAGGGATGCATACATAGATAAACAAGACGCAATAAGTAAACAATAAGAAAAATATGAATTTATACCAGGGCGATATATGTATTGAAAACCATTCAAAGACTTACCCACCGAATCTCTCTCCGGATTACAGTGCAAGTGGGTTCAGGAAAATTGTTCAGTTGGATTTAATAAATTTAATAAAGGGTGGAAAATTTCACACCACGTACCGGAGATTTATTCTTTGATAGAGTAATCCAAGGAAGTTTTAACCACTGTATTTCCATCTCAAAATTTGATTGAAGAAGTCTCATTGGTTGGTTTATTAAAATGTCGTTCTTATGTATCTCGAGGCTTAATTGAGCAATACTTAATTCACATAAACTGAATTAACCAAAGGAAAAATATTGCCTGCGTTCATCAACAGGATGTTTTGCATTCTCAATCTACAGTTCTTATTGTATATGGCTGCATTCCAAAAAAATGGCTGCGACATTTGCCTCATATATGCATTATTATTTTATATTTTGCCACAAGCCCCGAAAACATGGTCCAAAGTGGCGAGAAACAATGAAATATAGAAATAGAAATTTACCACTATTAAGTAGCTTTTCTAAAATATATGAATGCACTTAGGAAATCTAGGTTTCATTCCAATTAATTATATTGAAATGGAATATTGAAGAAGATCTAGAAATCTGCGTTAGTCACTGACTCGATAGAAATTGTGCAGTCATGTGTATGCTCAGCGGTTTTCCCCAAGCGCCGCTTAGAGGCCTGGCCGCCATCTTTAGGTTCCTTACAGTGGGGTTTTTATTTTATAATTGGTGATATCCTTTTGTCTGGGTCAGCTCAGGATATATCGATCAGTTTTTTTAAATATGGAGCAGCTAGAGTACCATCATACATAGACAATTCGATTAAAACATTGATCATTTTAGGAGTACTTCAGTATGAAGATTAGACAGTTTTGTGAAATTCTGAGTTACCACTGTAACGTGTTAGGGGCTGAATTGCAACAACAACGACAACAAAGATATCAATTTTCCTTGAAGTTAACGCACGACGAATTTATTGTTATTTATTTCAATGGAACCGCTACTGTCCTCTCTATAACCATCACCGAATAAAAACCTTCAACTAGATTACATTTCTAGAAAAAAAACGCCTCGAAATGTTCTTGCCACAAACCTAAAATGCGAAGAAATCAGTTAAAAAGTATTAACGAAATTTCATGTAATATAACTGTAGAGAGGCTTGGCCTCGACGTCATACTTTACTTTTCAGAAATTCTCTCACTAAACCAAGCGTCCTGAAAAATACGTGACATCGCTATGACCTTTATTTTTAAGTAAACCTCACTGTGAGTTTAATGCATCATAGCACTGTGCAGCCGTTTAAAACATGAACCTTTACTAACTGGATGACATTCAGAAAAGCCAGAAAGCGCCCTGAAGTTCACTGGTCCTTGTGGAGCGCAGCATTTACCAACTGACGTTTACAGCTTCTCAGCTTTTACATGATGTTGTTTTACCCTAAGTTGCCGTTTAGGGAATACTGGATGATGGAATAAACTCGTAATAATATAGAAAATTAGGCTGATATTTGAAAAAATTAAAAAAAAAAANTGTGCTAGTGATAAGCATGAAAGTTGTTT